GTATTGAGCTCCAGCGTTTAAACTTTTTTTTAAATAAAAGGAGCTCTGATTGTAAAGTAAAATAAATCAATAAATACAAAATTTTTGCATGGATTACAAATGTTAAATGTTTTTGATATTGCCTTCCTGCTACCTAAGCAGACACAAAGCATTGTGGGAAATCAGAACCATGACACAAAGCAACAGTCAGCAGGATGTATACCTTCACAATAAGTGTGTTTATCTGGGAGGGGTGCTGTTGGATAGATCACATGTTGTGATTCATTGACAGTCATACCTTCTGCTGTTCAAGATGGTGATGACTGGTAGATAATTAGTTAATAGCAGTACTGCATTTTATTTTTAGAAAGCGCAAATACACTTATGAATTATAATAATTAGTAAGACCACTAAAGCGCAAACAAAATATTTAGGTTCACAATTAGCAGATTTGCGCTTTAGGGGCTGGTGCTCACCACTGGATTCTTGTTTATGAAATATTTAAAGATTTGTGTCGCAGCTGCAAACAAAATGTTGTTGTGAACTTTTCTATTTGTTTTACAAAATAAAAGTCAAACAAAGAATAAATGAAGAGAGAAATAAAAACCTCTGTAAATCTACAGAAGTGTTTTAAAGTCAGCAGAAATAGAGTTTCTTGTTGGCCCCTCATCATAAAGGGGACCTGTGTGCAGARGGGACCAGTGTTCTGGTTTCTGAGCATGGAGCTGGAGGATGAGCTGACCTGGAGCACCRACACCAAAGTGCTGCTTCAAAAGCTCCATCAGAGGCTGTTTTTCCTGAGAAACCTCAGTAAAAAGCATCTTTAGTCAAATCTGCTCCTCACCTTCTACCACTGCTCCTTGAGAGTGTACTTAAGTACAGACTGGTGGTCCGGCAGCTGCAGCCCCTCAGAAAGGAACATGCTCCACAGGCTCATCAGGGCAGAAAACAATCAGCTGCTTTTGGGGGAAATGTTAGTTTGTCCTCTTCTATGGGACAGACAGACAGTGGAGGACATTTCAGACTTCACATGTAGCGTTCTCTCCTCCATTAAAGTGTTTGTGCAGCTCTTGTGTCATGGAGTCTACAAACAGATAAAGTTCAGCTCAGTAGAACTCCTGGAATGTGCTCATCAGGGGTCAGATTTATAAAGGATTGCATGGAAACCATATTAAATGTTAATGTACGGCCAAAAGTCRAAAATGGCGTACGCCAAAAATAAATAAATTAAAAAAAGTCAGATTTATAGAACCATGCGTACACATTTCACCACATCTTTCCTTTATAGATCACAGCCGCACCTCAGAGTTTGTACACGAGGTCCCGCCTCAGGTTCTACCCTCTACACAACCACACTCAACTACAAACAGTCAATGCAAAGTACCTCATGAATGTTAAGATGTATTTAAAT